GCTTTTTGGGCGCCGCCGTGCCCGCCACGAAGACACTTCCAAGTTTTGCATCCCAGCCCTGGACGCTTCCAAGTTTAGCATCCCAGCCCCGGCCTGGAGTGGAGCCTGCAGGCGCACCGCCCCGCTGGCGCAGCTCAGCAGCCGGGCCCCACCACACTGCAGGGGTTCAGCCACAAGGAAGGCATGTGGGTGCCCCATGGCCCCCCAGCACCCTGGGAGGGGCCAGTTTGATCCATGAGGGTCACCAACCCTCAAGTTGGAGGGTAATTAAATCCCTCCCCACCATTTGGCATGCTCCACACGTCCCCCGCAAAACCAGGAGCCCTGGTGCTGGTGAGGGTGCCAGGTCAGTGCTCGGCGGGGAGCCCCAGCACACACCAAACAAGCCAGCGCTGGCAAGGGGTTGGCACCTACCGGTTAAAGATGTCGTCGTCCTCTCCTCCCCAGCCCCAGTACTCGTTGGGAAAGCCGTTGATCTTCAGGAACTGTGACTTGCTCAGCCCAGAGACACCGCCGAAGTAGCCGGCGTAGGGCAGCCTGCAGTGTGACAGCAAACAGGTCAGCCCCCAGGGACAGGCAGGGATGGCGGTCAGCCCCATGGGGACCCCAGGGACAAGCACCAGCCCTCTCCTGTGTCACCCTCCCACCGAGGGCTCTGTGCCCTCTCCCATCCCACGTCCACAATTTGAGCCAATGACCCCGTGCCTGCCCTGGGCAACCACTGAGGTTGGTGGCCCTGGCATCATCCCAGCCCTGCCCAGGGAAACACTCCAGCCCCGCAGAGCACCCACCTGAACCCAAACTTGTCCATGCCAACGGCAAAGTGCCGTGGCTGCTCATAGCAGCGATAGAGGTTGCGGTCGTCCATGGGGATGAGGTCCACGTCACTGAAGATGAAGCAGTCGTACTCCTCGTCATCCTTGAGAGCCTCCAGGAACCCCACGTTGAGCAGCTTGGCCCGGTTGAAGGTGTCTTCGCCGAACTGCAGAGCAGAGCTCAGCGATGCCTGCTTGACCACCCCAGCCCCACCAACCTCTCACCCCTGCCCCCCTCACCTGGTTGATGATGTAGATGCCATAAGCCACCTTCTGTCGGCGCAGGATGGGGTGCAGGTAGTGCAGCCAGTACTTGAGGTGGTGTTCGCGGTGCCGAAAGGGGATGAGGATGGCCACCTTCTGCCGGGGCAGGCAGTCCGGGGGGGTGTACTTGCCACCCTGGCGCACATCGGGGTTCTCCCGCTGCACCCGCTCCATGCTCATGGGAGAGCTGAACTCGATAAGCAGGCGCCCAACTGCAAGAGGGAGGGCAGGGTGACGCCCGCAGGATGGGACACAGTCCGGGTCATGGTCACCCGCTGCTCCTGGCCAGGCCAGTGGAGCAAACAGCGAGGGAAACCTCCAAGGGGGACTGGCACTGCCAAGGGCAGAGGATGCCCAAAACCTTTCCCAAACAGGGGCAGAGAGACTGGGCAACCTGCTAACAAAGCCTGAAACCAGCTGTCCTGGTATCAGTTCCAGGCTGGGGTTTCTCCACTGATCCACCCCTGGGACCGCTGGGAAGCCATGCCCAGGGGACAGGGATGCCACCCATGGGTGCCCACCCCAGCCCCATGCTCAGAGCCAGAGCCCAACTCCCCTGCTGCGCTCGCCCCGCACGTCTCACCTAAGCCGGGAGGCGTCTCCTGGCAGGGCTGCAAGGGCTTCTCAGTGGCGGACTGGTTGGCGCTGGGCTTCATGCTGGGAGACGGGGCCTCAGCGCCGGCCGGCCCGTAGCTGGGGACGGTGCCGTTGGGACGGGACGAGTTGGAGAAGGGGTGCTGAAGAAGTCCAGGTGCTGCGCGTAGACGTCGAAGTAGAGGATCATGATGATGACGAAGTGGAGCAGGCAGAGCAGCAGCACGGCCTTGCAAATCCTTTCCAGGGTCACCCCCAGGAGCAGCCTGGTCATCTTCTGGGCATGGGCAGGTGGACATGTGCGCTCAGTGGGGCAGGGGGGCGGCTCCAGCCACGGTCCCGATCCTGCTGAGACACCCCACACTCAGGACACCGCCAGCCTGAGCCCCCAACCCCAGCCTGAACAACATCAGGGCAGCAGGAACAGCGCAGGCCTGATGAAGAGGTGACGGGCTCGCAGGTCGGTATGCCAGAGAGCACCCCGTGGGGATGCTGCGCTTGGACCCCTGCTCTGAAGGCACAGCCACGAAGACATGAGAGGTCCCCAGCCCCAAGCAGCAAGTCTCCTCCCCTCTTTCCAAGGCCAAGACCAGACCAGACCCACTCCTCGTCCCTGTTACCCCCCAAGCAGGGGATGGGGATACCCCCATGGGTGCTGCAAAGAGCCTCCATGGAGGCTGGGCCCTTGAAGGTCACACTCTCCAAAAGGTGGCCAGCCTGGGGTGTCCCAAGGGCATCACAGGTGCCCCCATGAGCCACCCCTTTCTGAGGCACCCCATTTCCCTGCTCCTCGTCCCAACCCCCTCCCAGCACTGCACCCCAGCAGCAGCACCGAAGCGGGGCCGGCAGCGAGCGCCATGCCGGCAGGGGCCCTCCTCGGGGCACCCAGCGGGGCGAGCAGCTGCACGGCAGACACTGAGCCAAGCCGAGTGGGACGCCCCAGCCCAAGGGGCAGGGGTCCCTACCACACCCAGGGGAGTCCGGCCTACAGCCAGCGGCGCGGGTCCTCTCTCCTCCTGCTGCTGGTGGCGAGGCCCCCCGGGACGCTGGGAGCTGTTGGGAGCCAGGGTCCCCTTATCTCCCACATGACACTTGGAGCTGGGCCAGAGCCCTTCTGGGAAGGCAGCCGGGAGAGTCACCAGAGAGCCCCGGCTGAGCCAAACCGTCCGGCCCTTCCCAACCCTGCCACTGCTGGGGCTCGAGCCACAGCACAGCCGTGCACCGCAGTTCCTGCCCTCGTCCCCGCTCTCAGGGAAGCTGCTAGGACAGGGCAAGGCAACCGCGAGGGACAGGCATGGGGGCTTGAAAGCCCCTGGAGACCCTGGGACAGCCCAGTGCCGCTGCAGGGATCTTGGGGGGACCCGGCAGGTGGGGAGCTGTGGCAGGACCCCCCGTCAGGAGCGCAGCTAGGACCCGAGGGTGCTGGCAACCAGCCTAAGGCCTGGGGCCAGCCCACTGGCAGCTGCCAGCCCCGGCTGGCAGGGCCCCCCGGGGAGCTGCAGGGCACCAAGTGACGGCAGCACCGGCAGGGAGCAGGGACCAGAGCCGAGGTGCGAAGCAGGACCCCCCCACCCAACCCTGCTCCGGCTGCCCTCTCCCAGCTGCAGGGCCGACTCCGGCAGGTGATGGGATGCTGGCAGGAGCCCACTGCAGGCAGGGAGGTGCTGGAAAAGGCTCTGAGCTCAATGCCCCACCTGTGTCCCCCCTCTCTCTCCACAGGATGCAGAGCGGGGTCCCCATGGGCAGGGGTCTCCTGGCACACCCCAGCACCCCAACCCCTCATCCAGGTTTTTTCTAGAAAGCCGGCCTTTGGAGAAAAGCTAGCTTTGCCGTTACCTCCCAAACCTTCTCGCGGTCACGGCGCCCTGTCAGCCAGCAGAGCCCTTGATGTAGGGACCTGCCTGCCCCCAGCGAGTGCCTGCCAGAAACCCTCTCCAAAAACCACAGCCCTCGCAGCAGGCAGCACATGGAGCGGTGGCGTCTCGACAGCCAGGCGGGGAGGTGCCAGGGAAAAATAAGAGTGGGTTTTAGGGACCCTTTAGCGGGGTGGTCCACAAGGCGAGCGGAGAGCAATGCTCGACAGGAACAAAAGCGAAGCGCTCCATCAAACGGCGGCCACGGGATGCCACGAACATGAGTGGGCTTAAAAACACCCGCTAAGCGACAGGGGGGGTGAGCTATGAAATACGATGTTATCCCAGCATCTTCGCAGGGTGTGAGAGGCCAAAAGCAACCTGGGGTTGGGGAGCTGGTCCCCAGGGATTCATCCCGGTGTGGTGTGTGCCACGGGGTTGGTGATGCTCTTTTTGGAGGGGTAGGATATCCTTGGGCCGGGAGAAGGGAGGCCGGGGGGGAGCCGATGGCCCCG